ATAGATAGATAGATAGATATCTATATCTATATATATATAATATTTTTTCTTGTACTATTGAACTGGATGCGACTGGCACAGGAAAAGATTGCCCCTTCTTCTCCAGTGAAGTATCTGGTGGATTCGAACTTCAGGATAGCAGCACAGCTTCTTGCCACTAGACCACCAGAACTCCTGGCAACTGTTGTTTTGTTTCTTTATTGAACATTTAACAAGCCCTATACTGAGGTTTTGAGACATGATCTCATTTAACTCTCAAGTGGCTCCCTGAGATAGATGCCTTGTTCTATATATGGAGAAGCTGAGGAACCATGAGATTCAGTGAGTTTTCCACACAGTTGATACACAATTGGAAACTGGCAGAGCTGGGGTTTGAACCCTGATGATTTAACTTCACAGAGAGTACATGAACCACATCACCTCTGCTCAAGGATGTGGGTCCAGGCTGAGTTTGGTCCCATAGTTGTACAATCTGCAAAGGAAAGGTAGTATAGAGAATCATGCACCAGTAAAGTATTTCTCTCAGGAAGAAGGGCTCATCATTTCTCACATTTCATTGACCAAAGTAAGTGTTATGACTCTTCTTCTTCTTCTTCTTTACTATTGAAAAGTATTTCTCTCAGGAAGAAGGGCTCATCATTTCTCACATTTCATTGACCAAAGTAAGTGTTATGACCCTGTCTGACTTCTAACAATGTGTTGTTGATCTTGAGACAATTCTGATGTGTGGTGACTCCATGTGTGTCATGTAAAACTAGTCCAAAAGGTTTTCAAAGCCTATAACCTTCCAGAAACAGATTACAAACCAGTCTTGAGGCACCTCTGGATGGGTTTGAACCATCAACCTTGTAGGTAGTAGTTAAGCATTTATGGTCCTAGGGATTCCTCCTCAGCGTCAGATCACAAAGAGTCAGAACTGGCTCAATGGCATCTAACAACAACAACAACAGCAACAATAATCACTGTAGAACTTGATGTCCAAGCCTTGACTCTCTCAAGAAAGACATCTGAAGTAATAATTTCTTCAGGCTCATCATGACTATTCTCATTGGCTGTCTTAAAAATCATTAAAATCTCAACGCCATGGCCAAATTGCATGTATCTTCATAATCTTTGTGGACTAAGTGGTAAGAAGTTGAGCTGTCAACCAAAAGGCAGATAGTTCAAATCAACCAGCTAGCCCACAGATGGGCCATCTCCTCCTATATGATTTATGTTGTTGTTGTTATGTGCCATCGAGTATAGCCTCTGAAAACCAAGAGGAGGGTCAGCTGTGTGTTGATTCTGACTAGACGGAAAAGAAGATCCTGGATGAGATGGATTGACATAGTGACTATGGTAATGGAGACAAGTGTGTCAGAGACTGATATTGGCTCAAGATAGGGCAGGGTTCAGAACTATAGTTCATAGGGTTCTATGGGTCATAGTCCACTCAAAGACACATAACAACAACAGTAAGATGGTACTTAACAACAACAGGTTCAAGAATGTTATCCAGAGGGGCTAGTCCTTAGGAAAGAATATCATGCTTGGAAAGGTGAAGGTAAGCAAAAAAGTGGAAAACCCTCAGTGAGATGGATTTGTCACAATGGCTGTAATAATGAGTTTCAACAGAACAGAGATTATGAAGAAAGTGCAGGAATGAGCAGGTTTCATTCTGTGATACAGTCACTATGAGTTGGAGCCAAATCAATGGCATCAATGACAACAACAACAGGTTCAAGGACTTACAAAACATAACAAAATAGCCAATGGGTTCATCAGATAACAAAAAATGAGGATAACCACACAACACTGAAAATCATAGCCTAATGAAGTGGGCACATATTTTGAGAGATTACAGTTTGATCCACGACACTGGGGATGGAGTAAACTCGTTGGAAAGGAGCACAACTTTAAGGAACTTTCTGGGAGATGATGGAAATATTATATTTCTTGGTTTGAATGGGGGTTACAAGGATAGCAAGTTCGAGCCAAGACTCATTGACTATTTTATAACTGTGTATTCTGCTTTATGTAAATTATAACTTAATAAGACGCTCTGGTGACACAGTGGCTAAACTCTCAGCTGATAACTAAAAGGGTGGCTGTTTGAACCCACTAACTGCTTCATGAGACATAGAAACCCATTGGAGCAGTTGCACTCTATTCTATAAGATCTCAGTGAGTTGGAATCAGCTAGATGGTG